TCTATTCCTTGTTTTCCTGGTCTTTATTATTGTATGGATGCTGAGTCAGCATCCATACCTTGTTTTCCTGGTCTTTATTATGGTATTGATGCTGACTCAGCATCCATACCATGTTTTCCTGGTCTTTATTGTGTGGATGCTTTACACCATCCACAATATGTTTTCCTCTCATTTATTAGTGTTGATGCGAGCATCCACACTCTTGTTATCTTCTTCTTTATTAGTGTGGATGCTTTTCTATTTGTCCTTAGATTAATATCTCCGGCATACCTTGGGCTAGAAACGCCATTTCAACTCTATTCAACTCGTGAGACGTTCAGCTACCAATGGTGCAAAAATCATCTTGATATCTTTTATGTTTTTTTTTTTATAATCGACATTTATATTTTGTCTATTTGTCCATAGACAAAGCATGGGCCAATGCAGTGCAATGCCATTGGTAGCTATGCGTCACGTGACTCCCCCGGTCCAGCAGCTCTTGCTATGCTTTTCCTCTTCCTCTTGCCGCTTTTGTGCTCCTATTATGCCATTCTTAAGCTTTATACACATATAATAGATGACAATCGTAGAGAAAATTGTCACGAATTCAGCTGTCAGTGTTACTGAGATGGGATGAATGGTATTTGCGTAAGTCGCTCATTCCAGCGCATACGTCTCACTGCTCCATAGACTTACAGTCAATACAGAAGATCCGCTGAAACAAAACGTCGGCATATTTGTAAATCGTAACTGTTCCTTCATTTTGTTTAATCTTGACATAATACAACAGTGGAATAACACAACAAAGTGCTGTGTATATATATATTAATATTGGATGCCACGTTTGCTTGTCACTGTGTCCCTCGCTCTGTCGCTCCCTGACTTGCAGTCAAATAATACGCGCTGGAAGGAAAACATCTTTGTAATTATAAAACGCCACGGTTCCTTCAATTTGTTTAATATCATGACATAATACAACAGTGTGCTAACACAACAATGTGCTCTGTTTGTTTGAAACTGAATGCAGAAATGCACGTCTGGTTGTC